ATATATATATAGACATATACATATATATGTAGACACACACAACCGTTTGATACCGTACTTCTTCACCTTGATGCCTATCTTGGGCTTATCCTACATATGATGTTTTCTGCTGAATAAATGGTATATTTTGATGTTGAAGTTGGGGGTTCTTGTTATTGTGAAATGATTCTTGAGGGTGAGAGGACTAAATAGTTAATGATCTTTGGGTTCAATTTCATGACAATGTTTTATTTTGACTGCAGAAAATTCAAATAACGGCAACTAGACAACTACAGCTGTTGTTGTGGAAAGTAAATGAGAAAGACCTTTGTGGGCATGTACTGGATGAATGTTCCATGTGGTTTTAAATTTGACAATACGGCAGGCTCATGAGTTGGAAGAAGAAAAGGAGGTCTGTGAAATACAGACAAGTAATTTTCTTGGCAGCCTTTTCTTTGGTCATTCATTTAAACAACATTTCTTCTGGATGCATACTAATTAAAAAACATTGAATATTCAAACCTTTTGAAGTCTTCTTAAACTGCTTCAACTTAAAGTCCTATTGAATCACCTCAAGTACATTTCTTAATATTGTTGTCTCCGCCCCATACTTACAAAACATTTTTGTTTAATCTTCTTGTACCAATTATCATATACCCTGGCAAATCTTTTCAGCTTTTAAATCTCCCTCAAGGCCTGGCAAATCAAATAAGAAGAATCAAGATATTCTTGGAATCGTTACAGATAAAGCTTGAAGCCCGATCATGCTTTTCCACGATTTCTAATTGCAGGTCATTTGTCATTTGATGGTACGTTCCATACATGCCGCCACATCTTCAGGTAATATAGGTATATACGTATCCACTCAGGTTAGTGCTTTTGGAAAAGATGTTGGAAATTATATCTTATTATTTAGCCATTATCTCTAGAATTTAGGAAGTTTAAGTTATTTATTTATTTTAAGTTGTTATCATTTAAATTAAATTAGATAAGATTAGTTAGTTATCTTTTTAGATAATATTATCTTGTAAAACTTATTTAAAAGCTAGATTATTTTCAGTTTAGTGTAAGATTCAGTTTTTTCATTCCATCTTCTTTTTCTCAGAATCTTTGATTTTTAACATTTGGTTTCAGAACCTATTCTTGAAAAATTGCATGGCTTTCGAAAATTATGTCCAGCCCTCAATCCCTCGTTTTGATGGCCATCACTACGACCATTGGAGTATGTTGATGGAGAATTTTTTCCAGTCCAAAAAGTATTGGACTATTGTTGAAGCTAAAGTTCCAAAACCAGAGATAGGTGCAAATGATGCACAAAGGGCAGAAATTGAGAAGGAAAAGTTTAAGGATCTCAAGGCTAAGAACTATTTGTTCCAAGCCATAGATTGGGCTATCTTGGAAACAATTCTTAACAAGTCTAATTCCAAGAATATTTGGGATTCCATGAAGAAGAAGTACCAGGGGAATGAAAGAGCAAAGCGGCAACAGCACCAGGCTTTGCGGGCAGATTTCAAAGTTCTGCAGATGTAGATTGATGAATCTGTAGATGATTATTTTGCAAGGACGATGGCTATTGCAAACAAGATGAGGATCCATGGTGAAAATCTGGAAGATGTTGCCATAGTTGAGAAAATCCTTCGGTCTATGACAACAAAATTCAATTATGTTGTTTGTTCAATTGAGGAGTCAAATAATATTGAG